TCGGAGGGTCAGTGCTGAGGGAGTTCCGCACTGTCGGAGGGTCAGTGTTGAGGGAGTGCTACACTGTTGAAGGTGCCATCTGTAAGGTGACACTTTAATTCTGAATCCCATCATGTGCCTCAAGTTGAGGTAAAATCCATCGCCCTCAGAGAGAAAGCAGGGTGGTGCCCTAACATCCAGCCGTACTTTACCCTCTTGGGATCAGCACAAAATGCAAGTCATCTGTTTGTGGCTTCTTGTTGTGTATAATTTGACACCGCACTTAGTTATGGTCGCAATTCAAGATGAATCCAGTTAGTGTGTAGCATTTCAGGTGGTGTTACTGTTGCGTGATTGTGTTTTTTATTCATTTGTGGGATATAGGCATCCCTGGCTGGGCCAGCATTTACTTCCATCCCTAATTGCCCTTGAACTGAGTAACTTGCTGGGTCATTTCAGAGGGCAGTTTAGAATTAACCACATCTGTGGTGTAGGCCAGATTGGGTATAGATGGCAGATCTCCATCCAGAAAGAGCCTTACTAAACCAGCTGGGTTTTGACAATAATTAGACTAGCTTTTAATTCCAGATTTTTTTATTTAAAAAAAGGCTTAGATTTCACTAAGAGATAGTAAGAAGTGCTGATGCTGGAGTCAGAGATAATACAGTGTGGAGCTGAAGGAGCACAGCAGGCCAGACAGCAAAGGAGCAGGAAAGTTGACTTTTTGGGTCAGGACCCTTCTCCAGAAATGGGGGAGGGGGAGAGAAGCTCAAAAATAAATAGAGAAAGGAGCAGTGGGGAAGGTAGGTGGGATGGTGATAGGTGAGTGCAGGTAGGCAGTGGTGGGGATTGGTCAGTGAGGTGGGAGGAGCGGATAGGTGGGAGAGAAGATGAACAGGTTGTGTCAGGTCAAGGAGGCAGGGATGAGAGGGAGGGTTGGTCATGGGAGGAGGCCGGGGTTGAAGAGATTTTCCAGTAGGATTCAAACCCTTCCCTCCAGAATATTAAGGACTCTGGATTATTAAATTAGTGACATTTCCCTCCCTGGAGAATGGAGATGTTAATGAGATGGTTAAGTGTAACCTGATACATGCAACAGTCAGATGAAAGGGACTGTGAAGAGCAGATGGTATTGCCTGTGCAAGGGAGAGACAAACAATGAATCCAGGCAGTAGTATTGTGTGCAATAAGATCAATAAAAGGGTTTGTCAGTGTGAGAAATTGATCACTCACAGGTCAAGGGGGAACTGTTAAGGTTGTGAGCCACCAGTGGGGTCAAGGGTGACCACCTCTGCAATGTGCAGAACGCAACCCAGAGCCACAAGCCTCGTGATGACACAAATCACTAATGTTATAAAAAGCATCATGTGAATGTGCTTGATCATTTTGATCAGCTCAGTCAAGCTTCTAATGATCGTAAAATGACAGGGTTGTCATAAAAACCCAGCAGGTTCACGAATCCCTGTCAAGGGAGGCATCGTTTCGCAGTCTAGGATCCACATGACTCCATTCAGTTGTGCATGAGATCATTGGGAATAGGCCACTCAGCCCCTTGAGCCCCTGCTCTGCTGTTCAATCAGATCATGACTGGTCTTCTACCACAGCGCCATTTTCCCATGGTCAACCCCATATCCCTTGATAAAAGGTGCAGAGGAGATTTACCAGGATGTTGCCTGGAATGGAGGGAAGGTCTTACGAGGAAAGGTTGAGAGAGCTAGGGCTTTTCTCTTTAGAGCGACGAAGGATGAGAGGTGACTTGATAGAGGTGTACAAAATGATCAGAGGTATAGATAGAGTGGACAGCCAGAGACTTTTCCTAGGGTGGAGGTAGCTTTTACGAGGGGACATAGTTTTAAAGTGAAAGGAGGTAGATATCGGGGAGACGTCAGAGGTAGGTTCTTTACTCAGAGAGTGGTAGGGGCGTGAATGCATTGCCGGAGAGGGTAGTGGAGTCAGCCTCATTAGGGGCATTTAAGTGGCTATTAGATAGGCATATGGATGATAGTATAAGGTAGGGGTGGAGGTTAGATAGACCTTAGGTTTCGGGTAAAAGTTCGGCACAACATCGTGGGCCGAAGGGCCTGTACTGTGCTGTACTGTTCTATGTTCTATGTTCTATCTTTAACATCCCAAAATCTATTGATCTCTGTTTTAAAGATACCCAATGATTGAGACTCCACAGCAAATCCCCTCACCCCTTCTCCATCCCATTCCATGCAGAGAATTCCAAAGTTTCAACACCCCTACTTTGAGTTTAGAAATTCTTCCTCATCTCAGTCATTTTTAACTTTTTTTAAATTCATTCACGGGATGAGGGCATCACTGACTAGGCTAGTATTTATTGCCCATCCCTAATTGCCCAGAGGGCAGTTAAGAGTCCATCACACTTCCAGGAGTCACATGTAGGTCAGACCAGGTAAGATTGGCAGTTTTCTTCTCTAAAAGGGCATTAATGAACCAGATAGGTATTTTCTGACAATTAGACTCTTATTTCCAGATAATTACTGAATTCAAATTCCACCATCTGCCATGGCAGGATTCGAACCCAGGACCACAGTATGTGGGTCTCTAGATTAAAAACCACTGGGCTATCGATAACCCCGTAGACAGTCATAAATGGCCTACATCTTATTCCTGAAGCTGTGTTCCCTGGTTCTCCCCCACCCCAGCCCAGGGAAACATCCTTTTTATCATCTACCCCCGATGACCTCTGTAAGAATTGTATATGTTTCTATGCGATCAACTCTCTTTTAAATTCTAGACAACAGGGGTCCTAGTTTCTCCAATTTCTTATCGTCGAGTTTGTGGATTGAGCCCTCAACCTCTTCTCAAGAGCCTTTGTGGATAGACAATGAATGCTGGCCTTGCTATGTCATCAAGAGTGAATACACAAAAAGCAGCATCTCCAAAGTCCCATAGGATTGTGGGAGCAATGCACAAATCTTGTGCTGAGTACAGTGCAACTGGTGGGTTAATCCATACAGCTGGCATGAGTCACTCAGTAAAACCACACACACTTTCTCAAAAGCTAATTACAGTAAAGAATGTCTACTCATCAACAGAAACCCATTGTACCTCACCCCTGATCGCAGCAGGCACTACACTACCACTTTCCAATAAGGCTAACTAGACCCTTGGTTGTTTATTCAGTTCCACCTCAAATTCCATTGACTGGAGGTCCTGAGGCCAAATTTACTGTCCAAATTGCTGATTCCAGCTGACATCACTGTGCAGGCTGGATTGGAGCCTGTTACCTTCTGATTTGCCACTTAGAGCCTCAGTGTTGCTGTCCCTTTAACCGATGGAGAGTAACTTACTTGTGATGCCTCCTACAGTCTCAGGGTCACTCAGCGTGTTCTCAGGAGTAACTGCCTTCACTGTCAGGTTATATCTGAGTCCAGGTTCCAGATCTGACACTTGGAACATATTCTGTCCTGGTACAGTGGAGTAGGACTCAATGAAAGATTCAGTTTCATTTGTAACTGTGATGTTATACGTGTATTCGGAGGCTCGTTTATCATCAGGCTCTGTCCAGTTTATTGTCAGTGTCTCTGTTGTCCTGTTCACCACAGAGAGATTGGTGACTGGAGAAGGATCTGTTAACAGAAAGGCAAAGAGAGAGTTAGAGTAAATCTGTCCTATGTCTCCTTGCATTCAAGAAAGTTGGCATTCATGAGGCATCACAGGCTAGGTGCAGCATTTATTGCCTAGAGAACAGTTAATTGTTGTGGATCTGGAGTCAGACCGGTAAGAATGGCAGATTTCCCCTCCCTAAAGGGGCATTAGTGATCCAGCTGTGATTCCTTCTCCCTCCCAACAATTGGCAACAAATCCATCATCATCAGAATCTCAATTCCAGATTTTCACCATCTGTTGTAGCAGGATTTGAACCTGAGCCCCCCAGGGCATTCCCTGGGATTTGGGATTAACAGTCCAGCAATAATACCACTAGGTCACTGCCTCCCCCTACCTACTGATGGTGTTTATTGGTGATCCTACAATCACGGAGTGAAAGGGTTCAAGCAAACATTTTGTGGGAACCATACAGCCCAGAAAAGGCCCTTCTGCCCATTGGGTCTGCGCAGATAGTGCAGATGGAGATCCCAGAAATCTGATACAAAGTTCTCTATGTTTTGGTTAAGAGCAGCGCATTGTCTATCTCACAGGACTTTGGCAATATCATACAAAAGTGCAAGCTGCCAAGTGAGGCTTTAAACTGAGGACCCTACAAATCTAGAAAATAGACCCTGTGGCACTTCTCAAGGGGGAGTTCTGCTGGTATCTTGGCAAATGTTTCATAGAATAGAATTTATTATCACGTGTACTTTTCCATGAAAAATACAGTTTTACAAGTTGCCCTACCACGGCACCTACATCAATGACAGAATTCATACATAATAATAAAAGAAAAATAAAATAAAGTTAAAGTTTGTCAGAGTGTAGTTAACAGCTCCTGAGCTCAGGGAAAGCTGATTTAGGAATGATGGAATACACGGAAATCGGAGCCAGCACGAGACCACCATTTCAGGACGGGAACACCATGCCAGGCTGCTGGAAGCTGATGCTGAAGAAGATCTCCACACCAGGAGACCTCCATGTTGGAGCAAGACCTCCACATGGAGAGACCTCCAT